AAAAAAAAAAAAAAAAGCCTTGTAAGTAAGTTCCCTTGCATATTAAAACTGCCACCTACCAATCTGGAGTGGTCTGCCTCTTTCTTTGGTCTCTCCCTGCCCTCCATGTATGGGGACCAGTCTTTGAACCAACAGTTGGCCACTGGAGAGAAAGCCAGAGGGAATGGTAGACAGATCAACTTTGGTAGAGAGATTGGACATGGAGTGACTTTGAACAAACCTTGATACAACTTAGGAGAAGAGGGAGATGAAACTACAGAGCCTGACTGGCCTTGAAACCAGGAGTCATGATTAATAGGCTGTGGTTTGGCTGCCAGTAAATTTGAATTCATTACTAACTGTGCAGAGATGTCCGGCTCATTATATATATATTTTCTCTCTTTTAGGTTCTTCAGCTGGGATCAGATATCCTTCCTCAGTACAAGCAAGAAGCGCCAAAGACGCCACCACACATTATTTTACACTATTGTGCTTTTAAAACAACTTGGGATTGGGTGATTTTAATTCTTACCTTCTACACCGCCATTATGGTTCCTTATAACGTTTCCTTCAAAACGAAGCAGAACAACATAGCCTGGCTGGTGCTGGACAGTGTGGTGGATGTTATTTTTCTGGTTGACATTGTTTTAAATTTTCACACGACCTTTGTGGGACCTGGTGGAGAGGTCATTTCTGACCCCAAGTTGATCAGGATGAACTATTTGAAAACTTGGTTTGTGATCGATCTATTGTCTTGTTTACCTTATGACATCATCAATGCCTTTGAAAATGTTGATGAGGTAAGTTTCTTTTTCTTTTTAGTACTTGAATCACATGTTTTGAGAAAATTAGGATAAAAGGAGTTTACAGATAATCCAAACTTCTTTTTAGCCACCACTTTCAATCTTCATCCTACTAAACACTTGCCGTAAATTATCGTATTTGATTACCTTATAACTTTCATCTGCTTTTTTTTCTTGATTTCTGGTTGAAAATACTGATTACTAGAAAAATGGCTATGGTTGGAGGTTGTGGTTGAAAGAAGTGGAGCAGAAGAAAAGCCACAGCAATTGGAGTCAAATATGGTTTATGAAGTAGATAATTGTTTGACAGGTGATGTGTTTTGATTTTTTTCTTTTTGGAAAACTGTGGCATTTTAAAACTCTGTGCAATCATAGGTCTTTTGACTCCTCCTCCTCCAGATAGCAGTGCTTGAGTTAACAAAAAGATACAGAAAATTTTATGGAATTTTTGCCTTTTTGGTTTCTTTTTTATAGTTTTTGCTTTAAATTTTGTCTAAGTACATTTGTGATTAGAGACTATATTGGATGACTTCTGATGTCTGGTCACATTCAAGATTCTGTTTATTCAATGTTATCTGCACAATGAGAAATACTTAAAACCTGTAATATCTTGGAAGACAATTTTATTCAGAGCTTCTTAGCTTCTAACCTAGTAGTGGATGATTTTCAACTTGCTACACGAAGGATGTATATAAATGAGTCAATATAAAATCTATCTATTATTAAAATATGTTCATAATAATAATTACAAACTTAATTTCCCTGAAGATTTTACTCTGTCCTCATAGACTGTTCAGATGGAAAATTCTGCACTACATTGTTGTCATTGTGTGTGTATTTGGGAGGTAGTTTGCAACTTTTCTTTGGTAACTTTTTCCATAAAATTTCTGCATTCAATCAACTTTAATGATATTAAAAATATTTCCCTGAAAGTTAAGTATAGACATTGTATTTTGATGCTGTACACGTAATTGTTACTTTAAAAATTGGGGGGAAAGAAAGGAATCGTAGTAATTTGTTTTCTAATTTTAGATTTTACCTACATCAAGCTTTTTAAGGTATATTTATTTCTTCCCTATTTACCTTCTGGAAGGGTTGAGAGGGGTTAATTTTGAAAATGCTAATCATATGATAAGATAATAAGTAGTATTTATATGTTCACTTACTAAATGGATTAATATATTAAGATCAATGCATTAAGATTTCCATTATTTAGAACATAGGCATAAAGATTTTAATAAAAATAATTAAAAGATTGGTTTAATTCATAGAAAAGTGAATACATTAAGCATTACATAATAATAAATGCATTTACTATACCATACAAATACATGAAGAGATCCTAAGACTTACTAATATTAAGGAAAATGCAAAGTAAACCTACAAAGTACACTGACATACCATCATTTACCACACACACTGGATTGGTGAGAAGGTGGCTAAGGATGTGCACTGCTCAGATCTCCTTTCATGAAAACCTGCTGCATGGAGCACAGCTAGGGGATTCCTGGAAGTGGCTCCTGGTATGGGAAAGCCAATCATGAGCATCTCTTTCAAACTCAGCATTCAGTGATATCACACTATCACACTGGTAGCTTGAAACTGGCCACAATGGGAGTATTTACACCCAGAAAGTCGCAAATGCTATGAATAAAAACTTTTCTTTAACTTTCTGTGGAATTAGTTGTTAATCATTTACCAATGCACCACTGAACGCAGTTGACTGACACCTGCTATGGTTTTCTGATCTGCTGCAGGTCACACATCGAAGCCATATTTCCCCAACATTGTGCCCAGCTAGTGACTAAGAATGGTGGTAACATTATGATTAGTTTACTCCTGCTCAATAAAGAGCTCCTCTATTGAGCAGCTTTTGCTCTGGGACTCCCCCTTTACCTGTGCTGTGGTTGAGGCTCTTTCTACACAATTCTTCCTCCCCTCTTCACAGGTTTCAGACCTGCATTGTAGTCTGAAGTCTCCTTCCTCCTCCATTTCTCCTTCATAGGCATTTATCTCAGTAAAAGTCTTGCATATCTAACCCTGACTTGGCATTACTCTGTCGGGAACCTGAACTGATGAAGCGATAGGGTGAGGCCTCTCATACATTGCTCAAGGGAATGTTGGTAAAACTTCCATGAAGAATAATTGGCAATATCTCATTTAAAAAAAGAAAAGACACTAGGGGCAACCCCTAGGGGCAGTCCCCTTGTTTAAGGGATTCTTTGTTATTTGCTTCCATCACCAAACAGCAAGATTATGTACCTACCTCTTGGTTTTTCAATTTTAGGACTTGTCTTTGACTTCTCACTGTGGAATTTGAAGTTTTAGCCTCTTTCTCCCTGCCCTAACTGTATATATGCACTATTTCCATCACCTCATTCTCACAATACAGGTATACCATCCTTTTGGTTCCATAAATAGTAGGTATTTATATCATTACTACTACAAATACGCTATTTATAGCTGAACCTTCAACATGCTGTGATTACTTTTCCTTTTCTGCACTTTCCATTTTCCTGAGAGTTGGTTTTATCATTTGCTTCGTTTTATGTACTAATCACTAACTCAATCACTAAGCTCTATGCCAGTTGTCTAAATCTCCCTCCAGTACATTGATACAAATAATATTCTATCAACATCACTTTCTTAAACAGATCTCTCTACACTCTACCCTCCCACCTGATGGACAGTTTGGCTAGCTGTAATATCCTAGGCCAGAGATAATTTCTCCTCAGATTTTGAAAGACACAGTGCCATTACAGTCTACCTTCTAATAATTCTCTTAAGAAACTTTAAACCATTGTGACCTGTTTTCTCCTTCTGGAAATTTGATGTATCTTCTCTGTCCAGGGTTCTGAATCTTTCCAGTAATATGCTTTAGTGTAAGTCCCATTTTCATCAGTTTTGCTGGGCACTGACTGCGTAGCCTTTTTCAATCTAGAAAAGCATGTCTTCTGTTTCGATTTTTTTCTTATGATGATTTTCTCCATCCCTTTCCCCCCTCTTTTCCACTCTCTCTCTTGCTGGAATTCCTTTTGTTCTTATACCTACTAGACTTCTCCTCTGATTCCTTTTCTTCTCTTCCCTTATTTTCCAATCCTTTATATTTTTGCTGTACTTTCTGAAAGATTTTCTCAACATTATTTCCCAACTTTTCTCATAACTAATAATGCGTTTTTTTTTTTGCTTAAAGTCTTTTTGGCTTAATACTAATAGAGCTAAACTAGCATTTGTATAGTATTTGATATATGTATTTCTATTTAACTTTTTATCATTCTAGATTATTGTACTCTAGTTGTGTCTTTTATAAATAGTCTATACATTCTAAGAGTCTTTCTAACTGGGAAGTTTAGTCTATTTACACTTATTGTGATTAATTACCTTTTGATTTTCTTAGAACATCTTATTTTCCATTGTAAAATGCTTTTTCTTCACTTTTCTCTGTTTTTATTTTTGCTTCTTTTCTGCTATTTTTTGGATTGATTGAATTTTTTAAATCTCCTGGATTTCCTCTACAGGATTAGAAGTTTTTCTGTTAATTGATTACTCTTAATATTTTTAGCATCAGTATTTGACTTATGAGTATCTTTGCCCTTCTAAATAAATCAAGGGCTTCTGTTTACCTTCTCATCTTTCAAACTAGTATTGTCTTATATTTTGGCTCCACATTATTTTTAACTTTCTCTTTCAATTATTGGAGGCCTTCTTTAGGACATGTTTATTGTGAGTCTTTGGGATGGTGATTCTGGGTCTCAGTTTCCATATCTGTAAAAAAAAGGGAAGGAATGCTTGACTTTTTTACTTCACACAACGGTTTTAAGGAATAGATGGGAAGACAGATATGAATGATTTTTGTTTGTAGAATTGTGCATGTCTGAGGGGATATTATTATTTGATTTGTGTATGTCTGTTTCCTCAGCTTGGTGATAAGCCCTGTGATATTGAGGGATGTGTTCCATCTCCTTGGTAGTCCTTCGTTGCTCTTAGTACATATTGGTGACTCACCGACCTGAAGCAGTAAAGTGTTAGCAAGGTTTTAGTAGATTGTACAATGACATAAAACAAAATAGAAGTTAAAAATGAGAAATTGAGCTAGTGGTGGCTTGGGAATAGGAGAGTATGAGTCTGACGATCACAGTTTAATCCTTTGACATGCTACGAGTACAGAATGACTTAGAGGACTTAATAACACTTTTTGTATTCAAGATTGTCTCAGTCAATGTGCTCTCTTAAGGCAACTTGATTTACTAGGAATTCACGAACTGGGTATGACATTCTTTAAGAGAACTGTGAGGATGGGAAGACAATCCATTAAAGGAGATAATTCTGTTTGAAAAGAAGTACGTAATGTAAATTTCCTAGAAACCATAACGGGGTAAAAGATGTTATCACCAGGAATCCAAGGAATAGAAATAAGCTCTTTTGTAGCATGCATTTGAATACAGCTCTGGGAGGTTAGGGGGAACTGAATTATAAGACATCAGAGAAAAATGGGGCAGCTGCAGGTAACACACAGTTTCGTAGCCTGAGTGGACTTAGGAAACGTGATACATGGGGCATTCAGGGGACAATGAGTGGTATTAGTAAGTGGTAAACATGATAAACTAGGTTAGAACAAATTGAAATTGGAAAAATGATCACTTATGTATTGTTTCAGGAGACAAAATGATTGGGCCAGTGACTGCTAAGTGGAAGTATTATAAATATTTTTAATTTCCAGGGAAGTTTATGGAAAATAATTTTCTAAATTATTATTTTCTTGAATTATGCTTGTCAAGTGGCCACATGCGTTGTTTCATTTTAGCATATCTGTTTACATAGCAAATTTTTATCTCTTGTCTAGTCATCAAAACAAGAATTGGAAATCAAAGAAGCTAATTATACTCAAAGATTTTAGAGGCTTTTTGTCCCCTTTTGTGGAATTTCAGACGCTGCACCAAGAATAACATTTTAGAAATTGCTATTTAATACAATTTGATCACCATTACTTTTTTTAT